TCTGGATATATAGTTATGAATTTATGGATATTTAGTTCATTCATTGTGGATATTTAGTTCAATTATTGTGGATATTTAGTTCATTCATTGTGGATTTTTACTTCATTCATTCATTGTGGATTTTTACTTCATTCGTTCATTCATTGTGGATTTTTACTTCATTCATTCACTGTGGATATATAGTTATGAATTTCTGGATATATAGTTATGAATTTCTGGATATATAAAAATGCTATTGCCGGGAATCGAACCTAATTTTTTCTTTAAGTGGGACGCGCGTTTTTTTAACAAAAACGGCGCCGTTTTGCAACCGTATGCACCTTGCAAGGTGCATTTGGTTGCACAGCATAATTTGCGATGAAGGGGTGCATAGATTTAAAAAGAATAAGTTAATAGTCCTTTAAAGACACATGCAAGTTGGGCCAACTGAAAACCTTTGGGTGATTTAAATTAGCGTTCGTTTGATTTAAAATTCGTTAGTCAATCACCTCACGGGTAAATTATTGTGCGGACCATAGTTCAAAATTACGTCGTTGAATTTTATGCGTTAAAATAATGTACTTTATGAGTTATAATAATGTACATTATGTATTAAAATAATAAAACTTTTGATATAAAATAATATATTTTATGAATTAGAATAATTTACATTATAAATTATAAAAATGTATATTGCAACGGGTTGCGTAAAAATAAAAAATAAAAAAATTACACAAAACGATGTCATTTTTGGACCGTGGTCCACACAGTTGTGTGGACCACGATCCATGCAATAACTGTTGCACCTCACGTTCTTGCTATGTTACCTAAATTGGGATGGTAATTTTGATCTAATAGGTGGATTTTTTGTCATCTTACATCCACACGCTTACCTGTCAAGTTTAACTTATTTTACAAAAAATAAAGTCTACTATAATTATGCTGTAGGTGAAGCCACCCACGTTATTGTTAAGTTCAATAGACAACATTGTAATTACTAATCCAATTGTCTAAACAACTAAGCTGGATTAACTTAATTATTTAGAAAGTGCTACTAGCTCTATTACAATATAATATCTATTCATATACTTTTTTTCTCAACTTACTGAAACACAAAGAGCCAATAACGCCTCCATTGAGACTTGAACTCACAACCTTTCAATTAGAAGTCCAACCCGGATACCATTAGACCACATAAGCTTCACTGAGGTTTAAACTCATAACCTTCCACTGAGGCTCGATCAATTTACACAATTATTTGTTTCTCTATAAATGTGCAGATTTTGACACTAAACTAATGATCACTTTAATTTTAAACTTCTCTTACCAACTAATTCGATTGAAATAATTCTCTAATTAATAAATGAAATTAAATAAAAATATCCTTATATTATACCCTCCACACCATTTTCGTTTTAGTCAAAAAGAAGTCTTTAGTCTTCACCTAATTCTAATGTAAGGATCTCCCTCATCATTCCAACGGCATCAGTCAAAGTTTGGAGAGGAATAAATGGAATGCCCGATGTTACGTTTTTCTTTTTAATATATTTTTTAGTAAATCTTGTGTGAGACGGTCATGTGAAATGTATAATATATTTTTTTTTTGGATTAAAATATAATATTTAACTATGGACTCATAAAAAGTATTAAATTTTAACTAACAAATGTTACACATTTCACATGAGACAATTTCACACAAAATTTACTTTTTCTTTTTATACCAAACTATTTAAATTTCTTTGTTTGATTAATAAATAAACTTTTTTAATACGCGACGTGATTGACTATGTTGAGTATATAAAATTTAAAAATAATGTTATTTTCTCTTTTAAAATTTATATCTTTATGAGGCAATAAAATTTTATTTATTTATTTATTGATCTATCGTGAATTAGCCAACTTATCTTGCGTTTAGACAGAAATTTACCTATTAATCAAATATTGTCACTTAAGGAGATGGTTAGTTGGATGTGAAATTATGAAGGAAATACAACATTACTCACATATAAAATATAAATATGTAATTCAATTATTAACTTAAATTTTTAATTGAAACGCGCACTTTCCTCGGATAAAAATAATATGTCGTTTAAGTGTTACTTTTTATTCATTAAAAGGTATATACAGTTCATTCATATGACAAATGCATGCTAAATACAGATGTACAATTTAACTATCAATTTACGCTTTAATTAAATAATACTTTTTAACCTAAAAAAAAAAAACTTTTCTACGAACTAATGCATTGAAGGTGGACGCCACGGGGAAGACGAGTCCGATAGAATCCTAAACAGACAAAAAGCTACGTCCCGTAGGCCATAGAAAGAAAGCTAACTTTTCTTTTCAACAACTCTCACTTTTTTATTTTCTTTTCTTGGCTCAAATCCCAATTCACAAAACCGCGTCGTGCAATTAAAGCTGTGAATCATTCTTCCCAATTCATATTCTCCATATATAAAATGTTTAAAGATAAAAATAAAATAAAATTCTATTATATAAATAAAAAGGGACAGAGAGTATATGTATTCATTTTACATGAATTTTTATATATTCATGTTATTTGTAATTTTTGTTTGAAAAATAAAAATTTTAAAATATGGTTATATGCATATTTGGATTTAAAAAAAAAATAAAGAATTGATCGAAAATGAGAGAAGTAAAAAATTTTAAAAAAGACATAGAATTGAAGCAAACATTGCCTTTGAGTTTTACTAGCTAGTCATATCAAACAAATTTTTTTTAAAGGAATTCCCCAAAAATGCAATAATTTTAAAATTTTATTGTTAAAATAAAGTATTTTTAAACTTGAATAATAATTCATGTGGTAAGTTAATTTGATTATTCTCATTATTAGTTCATGATACAAGCAGACTGCACATAGATATTGCAGTTAATTCACAAAATTTATTTGAGACTACAATTTATTAATTTATCAATATCAAATCTAAGTTTTTTTTTTAATAATTATGTCTGAATAACGTAAAATTTAAAACTCATCGTTAAATCGATCAAGTAATAACGTAACCAACACGCTAACAAGTAACAACTACTATAATCAACTTTTCTCATGTTTTAAGTTTTTATTTTAGATCAATGATGTTAAATTGTTAATATACTATTAATTATTGTGGGTCATGAAAAATATTAAATTAAACAAAAAAAGGGTAGAAATTAGCGATGACTTTTGAAACGTAAAAGAAAAAAAAGATGTTGAATTCCCACGACTTTAATTATTAGTTTATTATAAAGTTTGAACATGAATAGAATGCGTACAAATTGGGGAAATTGAGGTGATATCTTTCTCCATCTCGTTTATATATGTTCACGTGTATTAATATTATTGTTGATTTTTTCCTGAATACTATTGACTCTATTACACTTTTTCAACTTACTAATAGTCAATGTCTTACACTAAAGTTTAAAACTGAAATATCTCATCTGAGGGCCACAGCTATATCGCTCGACCACTCTAAGAAAAGAATAACACTTTTCTTTTAGAGGATGAGTTAATATTATGGACTCATTAAGACTCAACCAACTCAATGATAGATCAAGTGACTTATTAGCCCATACAGATTGCCAAATTGGTCTAAGATGATGGATTCCACTCAAATCTACACTTACACAATAATAGTAATTTTTTTATTTTATCCTTCTAGCCTCTACCTATAAAAGAGAATAAAGACAAACAAATTGGAGAACTTCAATTCACTCCACCATTTAGCCACCTCATCTAAAATATATATTCTCCATAATCTCTCCAAGAAAATAACCCCTTAGCCCTTATTTTTTTGTTCCCTACTTCATCTCCTTCATGGGCATGGGGTTGAGTTAATGACTCCCCATCAAAGGCTAATCATAATTATTGCACAAGCATGTACTATTAACTATTACATCAAATACTAGAATCCTTGGCTCAACTTAGATAAAAAAAAAACATCTAGGCTCTGTTTGGTAAAATAGTTAGCCTATTAGTCAATTTTGACTTATTTGACCATAATTATATATTTGACTTGGTTAAACAATCAATATAAATGTTTGATTAATTAGTTTTTTTGTAACAACTTATTGCTCCAAAATACTAAAATTTAAAAAGATACTCAAAATAACTTTTTCGATAAGCTTTTTGAAAAAGTCATTTTGTATGTAATCAGCTAAGAGCATCATCACTAGGGATTTTTATTGTGACTTTTGAAGAGTTTTTGTAAGTGTGATTAGGAAAGATAATATGGAAAGGAAGAGAAAAAAGGAAAAAATACAATAAAGTAAATTTGATTTCAAAAAAAAAAAAAAAAGAAGAAGAAGAAGCTAAACAATGTCATAAACGCGCCCACTCCATGCGCCCGTTAGGCGCATTTTGTGCCTCTCACATGTGTTTGACGAGATGTCCTTTTTCTGCTTGGGTCCCACTTTTTTGCAAAATCTTGGGTCTTTGACAGAGGAGTTCAAACCCTCTCTCTCTTCCTTCCCTCTTTTTTAAGGTCACAAAAAACTCCTCAAAAACTGTGATAAATTTGTTAATGGGATGCCCTAACAACTAATATATCAAACACTTTTCTGCTATCAGCTATGCTATCAACTAGTCAAATCCACTAACCCAATCAGCTAACCGCCATTACCAAACACCCTCGTAATTTTTTCATTTCCATTTGTTTTCTACGTTAAAATCATGTCTTAATATCAAAAGGCGTTATATTGGTTTAATGGATGATACACCAACTCACTTAAGACTTGCTTCCAATAACAAAATGGGGTTCAATTTCTACATACCGTGAACATTGTAGATTGACTTGATTTATTTTTTCATGGGCTGGGAGATAAGTTCATAAAATCCGAGATATAATCATGGGAAAAGAAAAGAAATCATGTCTTAATTAATTTCTTTACATTATCAATCAATCTTGATGTATATATAACACAAAAAAGAAACAACATAAGGAAAAGGGAGAGGGAGAGTGCATAGAATAAGTAAAGTGGGGCAGGTGTGTAGATAGCATAGGTAGTGTGTGACTCCGTGTCCTACATTTATATATCTTCTACGACTATACAGCTGGTTAGCAGATATATGAAGAAGCAGGCAGCCCCCACCACCTATCTCTCCCCAAAACCTTCCATTCCGTTATATCTTTAATTTCTCACCCGAAAGAATCAAATAATCATTGTGTTCATCATATCATAATGCTCCTGATCCATATATATGATTCCCATTCCACTCAAATTTTTTATCACCTCAATCCGAGGCTGATATTCCGGGAATAAAGACAGTTTCTTTATGATGCCGGCCATGGCCGCCACTCATCTGAGATCGATCGAATTGAACCCATATGGGAAGCTTCATCTTTGAGGGGAATGTTGTCTGGCTCGAAGCCGCCATTAATCGTATCGTATCTCCTTCGATCCATCTTTAATGGTGTCTTCGGACCAGGCTTCATTCCCCTCAATCACTCCTTCCACCGATTTCATCACTGCCTGCTAGCCAGCTTCTTTAATTTACTTTAAATTAAAGGAGATTCTTGAATTGATTTGGGTTATATGATCTGAAGTAAGTCTTGCCCACAGTTTAATTTCATGTGAATTATTGAAGAGTTTGTTTTGTATTTTGCAGGGAGCTGAGGAATATGAATTGGCATAATGATGAAGGGCTTTGACCCTACCTTTCTGTTCTTCTTCTTTGTTGTTGAGGTTGAAGACAATAAATTGATGATTATATTGCTGGGTTCTAGCACGTATAGTACGCACAACCGCAGTAGAAATTAATGGTGAATTTCTAATTTACTTTTGGCCCATGTTCATCATCATGGCTGTGTGATTTCTGTGTCTTTAATTCCTACTACATCAATTGAACTTTTTGAGTCTAGACTGCTTCATCATCATCATCATATCATATGATTGAGTAAATTAGGGCTTCTTTTCCCCTCATCATTGCAGCAACCTTCTTCAATTCTTCTTCTACATGCAACCATATTTCTAGGGTTTTGTCTCTCCATATACACAAACAGTACCAGTAAAATAGTAGGTGTTAATGAGTTCAGACGGACAACTTAATTGATTCTTGAATGGTAGATTGTGAAGTGAAAATCAAGAATTAATGAGCAAAGTTGGATCTTTTTGCTTAATTTCCTTTTCTGGAGTTTTCTTTTTTCCTTGTCTTTTTCCCTAATCCAAGATTCCTTTTTTAGTTTCAATTTCTGCAATAATTCCTTATTTACAGCAATATATACGGAGTATTAAACACGTGATTGGTGGGTGTTGATTAATCCATGGCCGTAAAGATATGATCTTTGGGTAGTCAAATGTATGATATCCTGAGCTAAGGTACGTATTGCTTCTGCTTTATTGTTATTCTTTTCGATCTGTCAGATCACATTTTTTGTCCTTTTTTTGTTGTTCCTTCCAGTCTGATCTACTCCTAAAATATGCCTTTTACATTTATTCTGAATGAATGTTGCAGCACTAATCTATATTCTCCTCAATCTATATTCTTATCATTAATTTTTTTTTATTTTTTTATTTTTGGGTTGACATATATTGAGTGTTTGGTATATATGCGGTGTTTGGTAAATAGCTGTTAGTTGATTAGATTAGTGAGTTTGATTAGTTTATAGCATTATCTGATGGTAGAAAATGTTTTGGTAAATTAGTTGTTAGTTAATAACTGATTATATGTAAAATCATTTTTTTTTCAAAAAGCTGATCGAAAGCAACTTTTTAAATTTTAACCTTTTGAAGTAATAAACTGTTACAAAAAACTAATTAATCAAATACTCATATTGAGTGTTTAACCAAGTCAAACATCTAATAGTGGTTTTTTTTTTTTTTTTTTTTACAACATCTAATAGTGGTTAAACAAGTTAAAATTGATTGATAGGTTAATTATGTTACCAAACCAGGTCATAATATAACTACCGCTAATTTCTCAGTTTGTCCAATATATATTGTCATGATTTTTTTTTTTTTTGAAGGGAAAACACACTAAACTTCTTTAATCAAATGTTCAATACAGTAAGGGACAGTAGACAACCAAATAATAGGACCAGATTGACAAGTAGCGGCTTTAGCCAAAGCCTGAGGCAGCTTACTCGTTGATCTACGGGCGAACTAGACGGACACTATTCAAAGTGTCTTTTAAGAGAACAACATTCACCTAACACACCCCTGCATATGAGAAATTAGGCGATCTTATCATTGAGCAGGGTACAAACCGTTTGACAGTCCAAATAAATTAATATATTCCCCCATCCTCTCTCCGCAGTCCACGAGAGAACTTCCTTAATAGCCATAACTTTCGCCAAGTGAGGGCCATTCATACAACTAACCGAACCAAACCATTCTTTGCTGCCACAAATCTCCCATTTTGTTCTTGCGCCACCACCCCATAGAAGGCACGATTTGTCTCGGGGAAGACTGAGGCATCAACATGGACTACCTTCCCACCTTCCGAAGCCGGAGGAACTGTCACTTGAGCTCCCAGATGATTATCCTGCACAACCAAGGGGGTCGAAATACACTGTCAATCTCGAAATAAATTCTCAGCTATAGCTTTCGTTCCCCTGCCAAGGCTTACATTTTCTCAAAATGTAAAGTTATTATATTTTTCCTTATAAGTAACAAATACTTTATTCTTCTTCCAACAAATACTTTATTCTTGATTAGTATTACATTTGAGAGGAAATTTCAATTTTAGTCCTATGGCTATAGGAGTCTTATTAATTTCAGTCCCTGACTTTTAAAAGTATCAATTTAGTATCTTGACTATGTAATTTTTGTCAATTTTGGCCACTCCAGCCAAATTGTCGGTCAAATTTCACCGAAAATTTTTAATTGGTCAAATAATGATGAGGGTATTTTAGTCATTTTACTCAATTCTTTCCTCTTACATTTGAAAATATAAATATGACATTTGCGCATATAAGTATGGCATTTACATGTTAATCTAATATGATCTGACCTGTTTTATGAATAAAAATTCGAGAAACGATATAACACAAGTGTGACTCATTAATTTTAAATATGATTTGGACTAGACAGGGAGTGTAATAAGATTCTTTACGCAACACTTTGCCTACAAAAAACTAACACACAAAGAATACGTAGACGTCCACTTAGCTTGCCGGTTTCTGCATGACCAAATCAGTCATGGAACGTGTTTGGGAGTTGAGATCATTGGGAACAACGCGGAAGTTACGTACTGCACACAAAAGCTGACTGCCACAAACATATCTGAAGTTGACAACAGCTAAGCCTATCAAACTCCAAAGCCTCCATACCACTTAGTCAGTACACTTCACCCCTATAATAGAAAATAGAAATAAAAATATATAATACATTATTTTTATTTTCTACTCAACTTTTATTTTCAATCTTAAATTCATAATTTAAACATTTTTTTTTGGAGATTTATATGATGAAAATAATATATTATTGATTGTTACATCAAAAGGTAAAAGTGAAAAAGTAAAATTTGAGAGTATGTTGATAGAAGTCTAATAGAAATATTTTTCTTTTGCATGCTCAAAAGAATTTTTTTTTTTTTTTAAATTTTTATTTTTTTGGCCATTAGTTGGTTAGACTGCGCATATATGTCTCAAGTGTCACCCGATGTTGCACATTTAGTCCCACTACTCGGGCTATGGCTCAACCATGAATCATAATTGAAGCAAAGCAAAGTGGTAAAGCTAAAAGCCCGCAACCACATCAGTGATTTTTGGATGAGTTTTTACAGAAGAAAAAAATTAGTGGTGGTTTTTGGACTGATTGGGGGGCCGGGGTTACTGCATAGAGTGCGTGTGGCACATTGCAAGCGCAGCTAGACACGTAAATTTGTTTTTATTTATTTATTTTACTTTAATTTTGTTGTCAGAATTTTTTTTCCCTTTATTTTCTTCCTCTCTCTTACCTCTCTCCCCTACATGTCAATGCAAAAATCACCCCAAAAAAAAAAAAAAACTACTTGTATGGTTGAGATTGCTAGGATGCATGTAGTACGAACCTGGGAAGGGAGGGCATTTGTTTAATTTCAATTTTGCTAAAAAAGGCAAGTGTTAGTTCAAGAAAAGTGACTTTCCAAACTTCAAAAATTGCCATTTTCATGAAACACATTTTCAATTCCGCCAGCTGATTGAACCATACAGAACTGCTCCCACCTCTCATCTGACGTTGTACCTATGTCTGCTAGACTTGTCGTCTCTTGAAATCTGCGGCCTTAAGTTTTAAAGAGAATATTAAAGAAAAGTAAGTACCATTGGCTATTAATATAATCATATCATCAACTGGTTAATACACAGTGCCCCATAGTTACGTTTCAAATTAATCCACAATTATATCTAAGGCTTGGGAACTTGCATAATCTGTCAAAAATGATGTGTATTCATAGGAATCTGATATGGAACTCGAATATTGATCCATTTCTATAATTGGTTCAGAAAGGAAAGTGTTGTCAGGTGGCATTTGCAGCAGCTCAAGATCGCCTTCAAGCATTTCGACCACCCTACTCATTGAGGGCCTTTGAGTTGGGCTGGTTTGGATGCACCAAAGCCCAACTATGGTCATCTTCTTTGTAATTCTCTTCTCATCCTCATCTTCTTCTCCCAGCTCAATTGCCTTGCCCTTGTTGATATCACTGTAAATCCAAGATGGGAAATATTTACTTGACTCGTTTTGTTCGGTAACCGGGTTTTCCTTCAGGCCTAGCATTTCCATCAGTAGCATTCCGAAGCTATACACATCAGCCTTGTGGGAAATGGCTCCAATCCTTCTGGTGATCAATTCGGGCGCCACATACCCAATTGTTCCACGGGCTGCAGTTAGCGTGACTATGCTTTTATCAGTCGGGAAGAGTTTAGCGAGACCAAAATCAGAGATTTTTGGAACGAAATTCTCATCTAAAAGTATATTGTGCGGCTTGATGTCGAAATGCAAAATTTGGATGTCACAGCCTCGGTGCAAGTACTCAATCCCACGGGCTACTCCCACGGCAATCTCAAACTTCCTTTGCCAATTCAACAAACTCGCATTAACTCCTCGATTAATGTACTTGTCAAGGGATCCATTAGGCATGAAGTCATACACCAGAGCACGCTTATAATTCTCCGCACAATACCCGACAAGTTGAACAACATTGACATGATGAATCCTTCCCATGGAACCAACTTCATTGATGAAATCTTGGCCGTTAGAATTGGGCTTGCTTATTACCTTCACTGCAACATCGCGGCCGCTTCGAAGTTTACCTTTGTAAACACAACCGAAGCCCCCTTCTCCCAGCTTCTCCTTGAAGCCTTTGGTCATATTCTTGATGTGTCTGTAGGAGTACCTAATGGGCGATAGATTATTCTCAGCCCTGAGGAAATTCTCGATTGCATCGAACACTGACAGGTGCCTTCTTTGCAGTTTGATAATTAGGAACACAATAACACATGGAATTCCAATTATAATCCTTACAACAATATTGATCCCTGCAATCCAACGCACAGAGATGATATATACATATATATAGTCTGATTTCTGTATAACAGTAAGAGGTTTAATTTGTACGTAACTAGAACAAGAAGCTTACCTCCCAAAACGGCAGCTACACCTATAAGTATACCCACACCTACAAAATATTCCAAAAATTTTTAGTTACAGAACTATACTACACAGTTTAGAAAATAGCTTGTAACTCTTTAAAGGAGATTGAGTTCTTGCTACAAAAGGCAAAATCTCTCCCCCGAAGATTCTACACCCCAGCCTGACAGAATTGTAGATGAGTAAATCAGGGTGACTTAATAACTCATTAGGTGGAGACATTCCCATAAGAGGGTGAAGCTCCCATGCACACTGGGATTGACTCATCATGTGTTTTTACCCACAATCTGTCACATACCCAGAAACTAACTGAACTACAAATGCGGTAAAGATTGAGTACTTACCCTTCAGAAGATGGAATGTCATTCCCGAGGAGCTTTCTACAATAAGATCATTATGGGGATTCAATTAAGTTAGATACAAGAAAGATATGCAGTTGAGGGAGGAATGGAGGATGAGTTACTTTTCATTATATTCTTACCGGCCAAGCAGGTAACCACATTTAAAGCTCCTACTTCACACTTTCCTTTCCCGCATGGCTCACAAAGAACTGCCCGGAACCAGGATAGCTCAAATCCATACATCATAGCATCATGGATATCCAAAAGACTAACATTATTCTGCACCCCATTTTCTTGAATTTGCCACGAAGTCTGGGTTATGAGATCAACCCGGCATGAAACTCTTAAATCTGATGCCATAAGGGGGCCTAGCTTAGCATAAGCGAAGCCTCCAGAGGAGTAGAATGGAGCATTATTCCCACCACTGCTCCTATTAGAACAGTCATTAGCTGTTATTTCTACAAAAGCGGAAGAATTCATTGGGAAAGGACAGCTGAAGAAAACAATTGGCACTGTAATTTCAAGAAAAGTTTTGTTCTGAAAAAGTTCGATGACATATGTATTGCTGCCACCACCAAAACTGTACCGGCCTAAAGCATATTGGGGAAACGAACACATATTGCTTTCTTGTACGCCAGGATCGACCACACGGATAGTGTAGTTGTCGTAATTGATGGATTGGACATAATATTTCTGGGAATTTAAAGTTAACACTGTTCGGTTTTGTTCACTGCAGGTTAACTCGTAATCCGGGTGGCCACAATCTTCTGGATTTGTATTTAGTCGAAAAGGGTAGCTAATATTGTCGATGCTCCCGCAGGAAGAAGGGTTGCATTGGCTGTTGGAGAACCATGAGAATTGGATAACAAGTATGCTTATCAGGCATGCAATGACTAGAGGTTTTGATTTGGCTGCTGCAACCATTTTGTTAGTTGAGCGGTGATTGGTTTGGGAAGATGATGACTTCTTAAAAAGATAAAGATGTTCTTTCAATAAATCCAATTATTATTTCTAGGCGTTGACCAGTCTATTTAGAGGGCTATCTGTAGCGTGTCTAGTTGCCTATCCACGGTTTGGCAAATTGGCACTGTTGTATAGTTGCATTTGTTTACATAAAGTATTTCATCGTTCACATGTGATGATAAGAAAAAGTGATCCTGCACGAGCAATTTAATTATTCCGCACAATAATTGTCTCTAAGTCTTAATTATTTATTAGTTGTTAGGTCAAACTTCTTATCATTGTCAACAAATGTCCAACTTTATTTCTTTATATACCGTCACATTTTGAAGAGACCTGCGCTGGACTTAATCTTTTAGGGCCTCTACCCAACAATCCCTACCAACAATTGTTGGACTTGATTATTCTCCGACTTTTGCCCAACAGTTATGTGCTTCTTGAGGACGCCAAAAACTGATCCTCCACCTAATAGCTAGCTGAGTCAACTTGATTTATCCCAAAACTATCTGTTGGGTCTAGGTGTGGAGCTTGAACATGAGGGAATTGTGGGCAAGAAAAGTCATCATATCCATACGTGTTGACTTTGAACACTTTAGCACTTATGCGTGGCGGCAGCCATTGTAATAATGAAGGATCAGAGCGAGTGATGATGTGAGTATTGCTCAGAGATGGCAAACTTCTTCTTCTTCTTCTTCATCATTGTACTACTACTTCCATTGCTTGTTCTGGGGATTGAGGATTGCGAGGAGAGCAGGTGCAGAAAAGGCGGCCCAAGAATCCGTTTCCCTTTCAAGCTCAAACACGAACATGCCCAGCACTGTGGGTATCCCGGATTCGAGTTATCCTGTGACAACAATGGCAACACTGTGATGGACCTCCCGCATGCAGTGCAATTACACGTTGATCGGATTGACTACGTTTCCCAACAGATATTCCTGTCTGATACTCATGCCTGTGTTTCCGGCAAGATGCTATTAAACCTTAATTTATCACAAACTCCATTCCAGTATTCCAGTCCCGCCCCAATGTTGTTTGAGTACTCCCTGTTCAACTGCTCTGATGATGCATCAAAGTATCCTGAGAATTTCTATGATCAGATCATTTCGTGTCTTGGTGTTCCTGGTCACCAAGTACACGCCTTTTATTCTTTTGAGTCCATCGATTATTTCCCTTCCCCATCTTGCATAAAATTCCATGAAACTACAGTGCCCTTTCAGAGGGAAACTCTTAGTATGAGTACTCTTCAACTTAATTGGTCAAGACCATCCTGTTCACATTGTGAGACACAGGGCTATATTTGTAGCTTAAACAACACCCTAGCAGCAGAAGTTCAATGCCTTAACAGACCCAAGAAAACAGGATCCAAAAACCCAATTATTGCAGGTAAT